AGTTGCAATAATTTTCTATAAATTATTAATTGATACACTTCTAATGAATGAACTGTGAAGACATGTACAGTTGTAACATCATTTTTGAACCTCTCTTCACTTCTTAAATTTTGTCTGTGCAGGAACAACTAAGACTAAGAATCTTGACAATAATATTGGTGCACTAAGAGTTAAGCTTACAAATGAAGATTTAGAGGAGATTTCTGCCGCTGTACCCATCAACGAGGTTTCAGGGAGTAGATTTATAAATGATAATTTTCTTCTTGCCTCCTGGAAATTTGGTAACACACCAGCAAAAAACAGTCCTGCAGCAACTCAAAGGATCTAAAACTTGCAAAAAAAAAATTGCATGATTGAGCTATTCAGCGGAGGATATACCAATTGATGGTTAAATAAATGCAGAAACTTGCAAATCTCACATGCAAAGGAAACACCTATGTGGAGATCCATTTCTGTTTGTATCAATAAATGATAAGGGAAATGCTAGGTGGCTGTACATGTTTGGTGCAATATGAATTGGATATCAGTTTGTTGTATTGGCAGCAATGATGTTACATTATGAGAAAAATGTGGAGATACAAGAGAAGTTTCAACAAGTAATCACCGTAATCAGAGAAGGATATTCACTTACATCCAAAGAACCTGCGTATTTTGTTCTGATATTTTTTGTACAGATCCTAAAAGTGACCTTATAGCCTTACTTCCAAGGTGTAATTTGTGCTACATGTACCCCGTTAACCTTTTTCTCACAAATTTCCTTGCTATCGTCTGTCAAACAATTATTCCCGAATATAACTATATGATGAGTCAATTAACATTGGCTCGACCCAATGTTGAAAGACGTCAAAATGTTAAAAAGGTAAAGCCTTTTGGTTCTGCATCAACTGCATCATATAAACCAAGCTGAGCTACTTAGTAATGCAAACAAGGTGCAAAATTGTCACTCTCAAATTAACTGATGAAAGATGTGGATGTATGCAGTGTGCCCAACATTTTTCTGTTCGTCAAAACAGAGGGAATATCCAAGAAGATGTCGAAAAGTAATCAGGGAAAGGATAAGAAAGATGACACATGCACTTTGAAGACATGTTGGTAGCAAACATCATGAATTAACTTTTTCATCTTCAATATTTCATATACATTGAACCTGTGTCATGTGTTTGACTCTTGGTTCTCATATATCTTTGACTAGTAATAGGAAAGAATAGTCTAAACAATAAAATATTATGACCTCAGTAAAGAATGGTCCACCAAAGCCCCCTGTATTTGCTATTTCCTTACAAATTTCAGTCTCTTGGTTCTCATATATCTTTCAGCAAACTGCTAGAGGTCTAAAGTCATACAAGACAGTAGAGGAAGAACAGATTTTGCAGAGAATGGCCGAAAAGCAAAGAATTATAGTTCCAAGAGTGAAACTGAGCAGTCAAGGATTTGAGGTAAATTGATGATCTTGTCCTTATATTCATTAAAATTCTAAGCTCTTTCATCTTTGCAATTCATATTATCTTAGTTTTTTGCTATCTTGGCTTTATTCTTTGAAGTGTTTGTTAATTTCTTCATCTCTAGCTACCTTTTTCTTTTCTATGTCTATAGGAAATTGTATGAATTTATTGATAAGCAATTCCAAGCTTTTCATCTTGAACTTATCTAGAAGATTTTACATGAACTCTGATTGGTGTGAACATTTAACTTTTTTCCTATCCTTATCTGTATAAAATTTGCAGTCAGATGATTTATCTTTCTGCCTACTTTTGTCCGTCTTCTCAATCTAAAGATTGATAAAATTGATTGATCGCAAGTTTTATCCTATTTTTCATTTGAAAGCAAGAGCAAGAGCCAAGAACTTAAACACTTCATCAAAATTGTGCAATCATAAAGAGAAGTTTCTGTTCCTCATCTAATTTCTTTTATATATAATGTCTTAAAGGTGTCAAAGTTGGGGTTTGGTTGCATGGGTCTCACTGGAATGTACAATGATCCTGTCCCAGAAGAAGTTGGCATTTCGACCATCAGGCATGCATTTGATAACGGTATCACATTCTTTGATACATCAGATGGCTATGGACCCCATACCAATGAGATTTTGGTTGGAAAGGTAAATGCACTTGCAAATATATTCTCAAAAACAATGCACATTCGTCGGAATGCGTTTATGTTTGTGAAATCTACCTGGCATTTAAGATTTGCGTATGATGATGTTAGTAAATTCTGCATATTTCAGGCTCTGAAGCAGCTACCAAGAGAAAAGGTCCAGTTAGCTACAAAATTTGGTTTTGTCAAATTTGATAATGGTAAGCCCATAATATGTGGTACCCCCAAATATGTTCGCTCCAGTTGTGAAGCTAGTCTGGAGCGCTTTGATGTGGAATACATTGATCTCTATTATCAGCACCGGGTTGACACATCGGTGCCTATAGAAGATACTGTAAGTGCTGCTGAATGCCATTAATCATCAATCATTGGCGTTGGTCTTTTAGAATGAAGTTCGAGAAAGCTTATAGTACATTTTCTTCTTTCCTAGATGGGAGAACTTAAGAAATTGGTAGAGGAGGGAAAGATAAAATACATTGGGTTGTCTGAAGCTAGCCCTGATACTATAAGGAGGGCACACTCAGTTCACCCCATTACTGCTTTACAAATGGAGTGGTCACTCTGGACTCGTGATATTGAAGAAGAAATAATCCCACTTTGCAGGTTCTTTAAATTCAAGCCTAATCTGCAAAAAATAAAATAAAATATTCTATGTTGATTCTTTTGCTAAAGTTTCAGTGAATTCAAGTTTCATCTCTTTCTCTTTTAGTTTGTGTAGTTTTCGCTCTGTATTGATTTGTTTTTCTTCTTCTGACAACTAACATAACAGGTCATCTTTGGATATTATGAATGTCACAGGGAACTTGGAATTGGGATAATTCCATATAGTCCTCTCGGGCGAGGTTTTTTCGGTGGCAAGAAGGTTGTAGAAAGTGTGGTTGCAAACAGTTTTCTGGTATGGCATGGCCACTTATTCACTTTTGGCCTTATATGATGTTCAATCTTCAATGTTTCATTAACTTGAGCTCATAACTACAGTTTTAAAGAGTTGGTTCAATTTGATAATTTCATCTTGTTTCTTATTGGAATAATCTTGATTAACTGATGGTCAACCTTTCCTGAAGCAAATACATCCTAGGTTTACCGGAGAGAATTTGAACAAAAACAAGATTTTATATTTGCGTATGGAAAAGTTGGCTGAGAAGCATAGATGCAACCCTGCACAACTTGCACTGTCATGGGTTCTTCACCAAGGGGATGATATAGTACCAATTCCTGGTAATTGATCTTTCATTTTTTCTCCTCAGCTTCATTAAAGATGTGCTGCTCAAACTAACTAGTATCCTCATCGTGGATTTCCTGGAAGTAAACATTGAATAATCTCTCCACTCTCTATTACTGAAACACATTTTTTTAATCTCTTCTCACTTGAGCTTTTTTTGGAGCAGGGACAACTAAGATTAGCAATCTTGACAATAACATTGATTCATTAAGAGTGAAGCTCACAAATGAAGATTTAGAAGAGATTTCTGCTGCGATACCCATCAGCGAGGTGGCCGGGAGTAGATTAAATGATAACTTTGTTGGTCCTGCCTGGAAATTTGCTAACACACCAGCAAAAGATAGTCATCCAGCAACAAAAACCAAGTAAAATTTTGATTTTTGTACTGATGAGCTATTCAGCTTGGAATATACCTAGTGATGGTGAAATAAATGCAGACTCAGAAACAGAAAGGTGGAATTGATTCCGTCTGTTTCAATATATGATAAGGGAAATGGGAGGCTAGCCAATAGCCATTGTAGTACAGTGTAGTGTTGAATGTTTTATTTAATGCAAGCTAATTATTTTGGCAGCAACACAACTCTTCCTGAATTAGAATCTCATACACAATAGTCTTTGTCAAATTTAATTAACAGATGAAAAATGTCAGTGCAGTGACCTCTTACATTTTCCTATTCCTAATAAGAAAGAAAAAGGGATTTTATTTTTTTTATTTTTTTTATTTTAAGAAGGATTATTAACTCTTTCTCAATTGTGTTGCACATTGAAATTAAACGAAGATTTATACAGAGAATGGTGCCGCCCAGCCAACCAGTGCAAATTAGAAGCCTTTTCTTCCCATGAGAATATGAGATACGTGTAATACTTGTGTCCTTTGGTCGCACTCCCATCGGGTGGAAAATCCACGTGGCACATAACAACACTTTAAAATTTTCAAACCTCTATATATATGTGACATAGGAAAAAAATTCACGGGAAAATATAGATGGTGTGATAAATAATTCGAGGAAATTGATACACAGTGGAAGAAAGAAAGAAAAAACTGGATGGGGTTTGCGAAGCTTTGATAATGTAAATTAATAAAAGAGTAATATTATAATTACAAAGATATTCGTATAAAGTGATGTGACAAAAAATGAATGGAAGAGTGAATATAATGAGTTTGACTTTTTGTTTCACTCTTCTATTCATTTTTTGCTACCTCACATTGTATGGAAATCTTTGTAAGATTTTTTTGTAAATATATTATTATTGTTAATAAAAATAGTAACCTATAAATAGGCAGTACACATCATAATAGATAAAAACAAGGGAGAACAATATGTCCCATCCAAGGTTTGGCGAAACGACAATTTCCCACTTGTCAAGTTTTAAAACAACACTTTCCCACCCATTGTTATATTCCGTTAGAAAAATTCGTTACTATTTGACTATAAAGACGAAAATACATTTTACTATTTAATTGAATTTTTTTTGTTATTTTATGTCATGCAACAGAGTCAATATCCAATATAAATTTACATTCATGTTAACAATAACAATACCCTATAATTGAGCAGTAATAAAAGGTTGTTGAGCGAGTATCAAAATAAGCATTGAGAAAATTCTACAGAGAGAGAAGTAGAAACATGACAAAACCAGATCTTTTTTTTTTTTTTTTTCTTTTTGATTGGTTCCTATCTCTCCTTTCACTTCTTTACTACCCACACCACGTACACTTTCTGGAACAATGACAACATTTTGCATAATCAAATTTATATTTTTCTAGTATTTGCATAGACCATAGTACCCACTACCCAAAAACCTCAAACGCACATGGCTTCTCTAACATCTCTCATTCATTCTCCAACCTTAATTTCCTATTGTTCATCATCTTCTTCTTCTCCTTCCTTCACCAAATGTATTCTGCCCACATCATCTTCTTCTTCTCTTTCCTCCAACAAACCCATTGAAATTTCCAATCTCTACTAATATTATTTAACTGAAATTCATATACATATTTTTTTCAGGAACCCAAACAACACAACATAACATCCAGCAAACCCATTGAAGCTTTTTATCTCTACTAAAATTTAATAATTAAAATTCACATACAAACTCTATTCACAAACCCACACAACACAAAATTCAACATTTAACAAACGCAAAACACCTATTTCAAGAAAAGAATCTTCAAATCCTCCTGCCACTGAAAATCCACAAAAAATAAACCCCAAAATCACAAACTCACAGACCATAATATCCAACAGAAAAATTGTGTGCTGGAAAAGAAAGGGGGTTGCGGTGTCAACGTCAGTGTCACGGTCGAGCTAGTGTTTGTGACGCTACCTTTGGCCGAGATTTGGTTGGCTGCAAGTTGAGTTGGTAGCATCGCAGCCAGCCCAGCTCATGGCTAAAGGTTACGAGGTCGCCAACTCAGCTAGCAATTGCAGGTTACGCCGGCGTCGCAGCCTCCAATGTAGAAGGAAGAGATGATGGCGAAGAAAAGATAAGGAAAGAGAAGGAAAGGAAAAAGCATATTTCAATTTTTAAATTTTGATTTACAAGGTTTCATGTAAATTGACCATCTTGCCCTTCTTCAGTACGGATTTTCTTAACTAAACATAACAGTGAGTGAGAAAGTGTTTTTTTAAAACTTAATAGGTGGGAAAGTGTCGTTTCGCCTTGTGTGGGAAAATGTTGTTCTCCCTAAAAACAACAAAGTCTACCACTAGCCTCAACTCCTATAAACTAGGCAAAGTAAAACCACTTTCTTTTCATCACTAATTAAATGACTACAGACTCCCAAAATGAACAAAAGAGCTTCCAAATAAATAAGTAAATAATAACTCTTAAAACCCTCCCTTAAATTGATATATGCAAAAATCAGTTTAGGACCAAACGACTTCAACAATTCAACAACACTACTAAGCTTCCTCTGAAACAATATCCTTTGAAGAGCATACTCCAAGCATTCTTCTAAGCTTCACAAAGGCAGGAGACTTAAGGTGCATGGTTAACAAATCTGCAATCATACAGAACTGGATTCTTTGAGAGCTTTATTGCAGAAAGATTATTACAGTAAATTAAATTTGGACCTTGTTGTTGATTATGTAGAACTCCAAGTAGCCTTCGTAACCAAATAGCTCAGCTTCAGTAGTTGATAATGTTACTATTTGTTACTTCTTTGATGACCAAGTAACAGCTCCAAAGCTCATTATAAACACGGAACCAGATGTACTCTTCCTATCATCAAGGTCTCCAGCATAATCACTATCTGAAAAACCTATAGTTTAAGCCGTATAGTGATTTTCATATTCCATTGTCGAGATGCCTATTTTAAGCCATATAGTGATTTTCACAGACGACAAACTGTATTCTCCCTAGTCTGTGAAGACTTGGTGAAAGTTCCATATAAATTTCCTCATAAAGGTCCCTGCGAAGGAAACTATTATGAACATCCATTTGGTGTAGTGGCCAATCCTAGACAAAGGCAACTGAGAGAAAGGCTCGCATAGTGACATGCTTAGCAAAGGGTGAAAAAGTCTCCTTGTAATCAAAACCTTCTCGTTGAGTAAAGCCCTTGTCAACGAGATGGGCTTTGTATCTTCTAATGGTACCATCAACGTGGTATCTGATTTTGTAAACTCATTTACAGCCAATAGGAGTCTGGTGAGAGACATGAGGAACTAAATCTCGTGTACAATTATTAGCCAAGGCATTGAGTTAAGCAGCCATAGCTTAACGCCAATGAGAGTGTTGAACGACATTGGAGTAAAATGAGGGCTCTCGTTCAGTAAAAATCTGGTTAACACAAATTTGATGTGTAGGAGACAATCGGTCAAAATTGACATAATTGGAGGTTGGATAAGTAATACTTGAGGACTCTAGAATGGTGGGGTAGACATAACTAGCTATCCAAACAGGAGGTCGATTGCGACAAGAGAATCTCCTTGGGGGAACTATTTCTTCAAGACAGGAGGCAATATCGAAGGATTGTCATCAGAAGAGGAGTCTGTTGGTGTATTAGCAATGACTAGAGGAGAGTCAATATGGATAACTAGAGATCCTAAATCTTGTGGAGTTGGTGGACTAGGAACAGGTACCATGTAGAGATGGTGAGAAGTCACCATCCATGAATGTAGACAAATGCTGAGGAGTTGATTGGCTAGTGTTAGTGTCTTTAAAAGGAAACACATTTTCATGAAATGTAACATCTCAAGAAATAAAGAATCTGTCGGTATCTGGATCATATAGTCGATGACTTTTTTGGAGCATGACATACCCCATAAATATACAGCAAGTAGCCCAATTGCCAAATTTGTCATGAGAACTAATAATAGCAAAGTAACAAAGGTAGCCAAAGACACAGAGATGGCTGGTGTCAAGAAACTTGCCAAAGAGAACTTCATGAGGTGTCTTTCCTCCAAGCACCCAAGTGGGCATGCGATTGACTAGATAAGTAGTAGTGATCACACATTCTCCACAAAAATATATGGGAATTTGGGCTTGGTGTTTGAGGGCTATCGCCACTTCTAACAAGTGACGATGATTTCGTTCTACAGTCCCGTTTTGTTATGGGGTATAAGTGCAAGAACTCTCATAAAGAATTTCAAGGGAAATGAATAAAGAGCAACATTGAATATTAAAAAGTCACAGGCATTATCGGTTTTGATACATTGCTCTATTGTGCAAAATTGTGTTTGTATTTTGGATAGGAAATTACGAATATGGGTAAGGGTTTGAGTTTTGGACTGCATAAGGAATGCCCATGTCCCCAGGGAAAAATCATTGTCTATTGTGAGAAATAATCTAGATCCATCATGATTTGGAGTATGAGATGGTCCCCAAATATCAAGATGAACTAAGGCAAAAGGATGAGTAGTGGAGGTCGTACTTGTAGGAAAAGTGGTACGTGATTGTTTTGCAAAGGGATAGATCGAACATTTAGGTTAAGGAATTGATGCACTATGACCTAATCTTTGATGAAAAATAAATGAATTTTTATTGATATTTGTATTACAACAAGAATTTTTATTTTGTGTAATGCAATTATTAGACTCTGGAAAAACTTCGAAAAATCCACTACGTGTCCAGTAGTACAAGCTATGATGAGCCATACCCAAGCTCATCAGTTTTCCAGTCAAAGGGTTTTGGAATGCACATGTAATAGGAAGGAAATTTAAAACACATCTACTATCAGTACAAATATTTTACACGGAAATAAGATTAAAATGAAAGGCAGGGACAAAAAATGACATTTCTAAGGATTAAATGTTCTAAGAGATGGACATTCCCTATATGAAAGGCTAGAGTACTATTCCTATTGGCATGCGTACAAATGTAGATGGTTTGGCAGGTTTAGTGGTTGTAGGGAAAAAATTTGGGTTGCAAACAATGTGGTCACTTGCCCTTGAGTCAATTATCTAAATATTATTCGAAAAAGAATTCAAACAAAAAGATGTACCTGCGTAGGATGCTGAGGTATTTGCTTGCGAAATATGATTTAATATTTGAATTAGTTGATTGTATTGTTTTGTGCTAATCAGAGGTGTTGAAATTTGATTTGCTGAAGGCATATTCGCGACTACATGAT